GCTCCCCCCTCTCCGTGGGCTGGCCTCTCACAGACTCGCGCGGGGGGCGCGTGTCTCCCCGGGGTCCCCCCCCCCCCGCGATACATGGTCTATTATATTTTTTTCATATATATAGGGGTGTATATATCTCGGGGTGCTCTATAGATAGATATATATATATATATATATATATATATATATATATATATATATATATATATATATATATATATATATATATATATATATATATATATATATATATATATATATATATATATATATATATATATATATATATATATATATATATATATATATATATATATATATTTACAAACTTTACACCATCCTCCCCTTTGGAAAATGAAAAGGTGATGAATCAGATGAAATATTTAAAACTTCTGTTAGGTGATTATAAATTACTATAAGAATTTGAAGTTCTTAAAAAACCACCAACAAAGTTGTTAATAACTATGAAATAAAACCCAAAGCTATGGCATAAACATTACCTAATTACAAAATCCCAATGAATCAATTGCAACTCTATATATAATTCCCAAATGCTCAAATTAACCATGCAACCATAATTTTGAACTAAAACAAGGGACTTTAAGAGCTATTACAATCTATAAAACACCATTGCAACAAACAATACATCCCATCATTAAGTCTACTTTGTAAATGATCTTCTAAGACCACTATTAACTCATATTTAAAACCATAAGTAAAATTATTGTCCTCATTTAGCATTGCACATAGGAGGTTAAACTCATTCCTCCATATCTTCCTTATCTCTTTCTTAAAGGAAAAATAAATCTAAAACACTAGCTTTGTTTGAATTTGTAGTGCTCATCCTCATTTTGTTATCTATGTTTAACTTCACTCTCTGTTTAACCTCACTGCATCAGGGTTGGATGCATTTGGACTCACTATACTCATCCTCACTCCACAATTTATGTTGTTCATTCTCGCTCCACTGCTGTATTTGCTCATCCTCACTTCATTGTCAGGGTCAGACTCCCATCTGTCCTATCTAACCCTTCCTCCGAAGAAAAAAAGTTTGAAGTGTCAAGCCATAAAGGAAAAAACAAAAAAATTGAGGAAAACTAATTGTGAAAGAAAAAAAAATGGATAAAGAAGCATTGGAAGAAGAATTTTCAGCAATTAACAATGCAAAAATAGGGAAATCAAAAGAAAAACATGTACTCAAATCTTGGAAAATAAGAGACTTCACATCATAAAATACTCCAACCATTATAATATAAACAGAAAATTCACACCACTCAACCTCCTTAACACACAATTTAACACTTGAAACATAAAAATCAATAACAACATCCATATTCTTAAAGGAATATATATAAATTCCCCAGTAATAACGGTAAAACAAAATTTTTCAACGACACTCATAAGTGGGGATATGTATTCAACTTGAATTCTAACCAAAGTGACTCAACCCTTAGAATAAGGGAATACTCAACACTAAAACTGATCAAAGACTCTACTAATGAAACAAAAATAAAATTCTCAACTTTATATACATACTCAACATCGAGATTAGTATGAGGAGGATAGAAAACACTTAACTCAACACTAAATTGAGAATGAAAATTATCAAAGTTATAAATAATCAATATGCCAAGAGAAGAAAACACTGTAAATGAGGAAGAAATACTAGGAATATGGGAAGGTGGCTTAGATTGAGAAATAAGAAAAAATTAGGAAATAGTAAAAAGTAAAAAGAAAGGATCAAATGATAGATTGAAGGATTGATACTTACCTTGTGAAATTTCCACTTCATCTCTAAATTTATATTTCCATAATGATTAAGTTTAGTCATCACAATCTAGAATCTGCTCAAAGTCATATACATTGTTTTCCCATAAACTTGATCCTCAAACATTCTTTAAGAACTAAATTACATCATCCATAGTTTGCCAATTGATATTATGACCACACTCCACATTAATAGGAGATGGCAAAACACTAAGAAAAGAATAAGTTGTGTAATCACATCCTATGGAAATAAAAAATGGCAATATACCAAAAATGAGTGTAACACCAACATGAGCACACCCCATAGCACCAAAAGTTTGATCTAACGAAACAACATTAGTAGTTTTAAATAGCATACTCACTAATCACTGATGGCGTGATATGGTAAAAGAAGAGAATGCAATAAAGATCAAAAGAAAAAATAAATCTAAATATAACAATAAGTAGAGTTCTAAATCTTGCAAAAAACTAATACAAATCTAAATTTAAAAGAGAATGAAGAAATAAAAACAAAAAACACAATCCCAAACACTAAAGCAAAGGACTGTTAAAAAATTTGCCTTTTAGAGACAAATTGCAATACCCCTCACCTCCACTAATGTGAGTGTTCAAGGTATAGGAATACATATATAAATTGGGGTTTAGACCTCTACTTATACATAAGAATGGATAGATCAAATTTAGTTTTAAATAGACAATCCATATGTTATATTACTATAATTAGTGTATTACTTAGCATGTATATACATATATGTATTTATAAACTTTACAAATGAAATTTTGGTATTTATTATTAATTTGAGTTTGAACCTTCCATGTGCTCACAAATTGTAATTTTCAACTACTTAAACTTCTAGTAATAAATCTAATCTAATTGCAAAACATTTTGTTGCAATTTTCAATAATTTTTATATTCACATAAGGTTTAATTGAAAAATAAAGTTCTTCATAATCATTCTTGGCATTATTTCTTCCTTTTAACCATACTTGGTGCTATTTATTCCTTTTATTTTTGAATTTCCTGATGCAGTAGTGATCTTATGGAAATGATCTATAATATGTGGGAACCAAAATTTCATATATGTTAACATTTTAAGAAAAAGTAACTTCATGAATGCTAGTATTTCAAGATATGATATACTTTAGCTATGTTGTAGTGCTTCAATCTTTCAAATCCCTTTAAGTTCATAATTGCAAATGTAAAAGAAATGGGATTTCATTATTTTTATTTATCTTTTTATGCTTTATAGGTATTTAGGAGAAGTATATTATTTATCTTTTGTTATATAGTTTATAATGAATTCAGCTTGTAGGATATTATTATTCATGAAAGTATTTGTCAAATTATTTTTTAATTATGCTTTATATGGGTATATTGAATGGTAAGCTATAATAAATTTTATCTGAAAAAGTGTCTTAACAAATCTTTTTATGAACATTAAAACACTTTCTTAGAATGAAATGCCAAGAATTTACTAAACATTTTACCATTCTGTAAAGTATAACTAAAAAAATATTATTAACAAATTCTTTAATGGACAACAATGTTTGATAGTTCAAATTTATCATTAATTATGTGATAAAGGATGGTATGCTTATCTAAGAGATTCTAAGGGCATTACTGTAACATAGAGTTCTTGATCAATAGTTGTTCTTGATACTGTCCATCTTATAATAGTAAATTTTGAGCTTGAACATTGAGTCTAGTGAGCTTTTATAACTAATTAATAACTTACAACTTCCATAACTTCTTTTGATCTTTGTAGGACTGTAATGTTGTGGTTTAGGCTGTAAAATTACTCTTCTACTCATAGGGGTATATATAAAGTATGTATATATATGTACAGTTTCTTAATCTCTTTTGACTTGTTAATCTGATTCAAAGATACTAAACGTCTGTTTTATTTGGAAAATGCGAGCTTGCAGCACGTTTTGGCACTCAAGGCACTCCAATTATGATTGGTACACTTCAAGCATAGAATATGATCAACCAAGGAATATAAACACAGGGGATGCATATACAATACTTGGCATGGAAAGCGCTTTCCTTTGTTGACAAGAGCGCTTTCCTGGATCGGACCTCAAGACCATCTGGAGTGGAGGCTGGTGTGGAAGAAGGCCGTGACTGACACTGGCTAGGAGTTTTGGGAACACTGCTTCCACAGTGTCCTCAAGCTGTCTAAAGTTTCAGAAAAAGTATATACTCTAGTTTTCCTAAATCTCATGCATGAGACCTTCACACAAGAAATTCGAGTGATCTGACCCTGAGCGCATCAAACACTAGCAAGCATTAAATTGCCGGAGCTCGTGAATAGTGATAACGGAGTCACAAGTACGTGGATCAGCACTGGCATCAAGGTACTCTTTATATTTTTCTTTCTATGCGTTGCACACATAATGGGCGATCTTTTACTCATATCCGAGGACGAATCTAAACCTTCTGCAAAAACTTCCAGAGTGGCTGCCACTGAGGAGAAATTGCTATATAAAAATCTTCCCTTGCAGCTCCGCGGAGGTAAACTGATAAGGGAAGCGTTTGAAGTAATGCAATCCAGATGACGTTTTATTTGTTTTCTTCTTCTGTGACTGAACATCAGAAGATCGATCCAGTAGCATTCTGTGGAACGAAGAGTCTTTTTTAAATATTCACTTCCATTTGCGCCACGAATACTAGCTACAAACGATCAAGCCGCGATTGCAAATTACGGGCTTGTGGGCGCTGTGCAGTATCAAGATGTCCGCACCCACCCTGTCCTCATACCGCCGGCAGCACAGTTTTACTTTCGTACTTTACCAGGGCGGCCATAAGGGGTATCCTGGAACACAATCATCATGGCATCCATGCGAGCATGGATCTGGAACCTGCGCTCGATCATCCAGAAATGGTGCCTAGAATCTATCTTCAATTGCAACACCTGCGATTCAATCCTCTGGAACCCAATGCTTGTAGCATATGCCCACAGAGGGACTCTCCGTGATGGGATCCAGTTCTTCCTAGCCACGACTGGCGTGGAGTCACGGCTCATGTGTGATCGGTCTCTAGCGTGAACTGGCAAGTTGGGTTATGCTTTTCCATCCCGACGTGATCTCGCTCACGGCTTGCAAGCTCCACA